CAAACATTCACAAAAATATGCTGAGTGCTTACTGTGTGCCAAGCCCTCTGCTAGATGCTAGGGAAACTGGTGAACCAGACAGACCTATCACCTAACCCCTCACACAACCCTGGCTTTCTGTATGGTGGGGAAACAGCTAGGAAATAGGCAATGATATGTTATTGGGAAGGGTGCTACAGGGGCCTAGAGGGGGCACCTGACAGTTTAAATGTGCAGCAGGGAAGTCATATGACCAGTTGAAGCTGAGAAGAGTGCTGTAGGTAGAAGGAACTGTGCGTGTAAATGTTTGGGTGGGCCTGGCTTCTGCAGAGGCGGCAGCTAATGCTAGGTGAGTCGGACTCAGGAGGGCTCAAGAGCTCCCACGGCCACCTCCTCCTACTCTCCACCTCCCCTGGCTTCGCTCTCTACCCCTTCTTCCTGGAGAATAAAACCAGATGAGAATGATCTGGGCCTGAGAAGTCTAGGAGCTCTCCAGTGAGTCCTTTCTGCTCAGGCTCCAAATAGTTGAGGTAGGGGGAGAGGCTTCAGGTCTTTGTCTCTTTCTGAGTCGATCATTTAGAAAACTGGACCTGGCAGTTTCAAGATGCTCATGGAGCAGACGAAATGAGATCTTGACCATATAATGGTGGTTTCCGAAGTGGTATATCACTACGGAAGTAGATTGCCCATTCTTCCTTCTGTAAGGATCTCTGCTTGGTTTAGCTTAGCCCGTCATTCCCTTGGAGGCTGCCCCATCTGCCCAGTCAGGAGGGCTGATCTCTGCTACATTTATTCTCAGTTGATGGGCTGAATCATGATCAGGAGTGGGTTAAAATTTTGACAATGAGAGACCTGCTGTTGGGGGAGTCAGGGAAGAGCCATCTGGAGGTGAGAGGGGTATGCATTTCCCTGTCATCCCTCGAACTCCCCAATGACAAGCACAGCTAAGCGATACTGGTGTAAAACTTGCCATCAATATTTCAGGGAGCATTATTTATTGGTCATTCATCTGATTGTGACAAAAGGAGAGGATAATTCATAGGGGATGAAGGGCTGGTGGGGTCAGTTTGGGAAAGAGGTCAGGGAAAGGTAGATCCCAAGGACCACCACCTTCAGCCCCTGCACAAAATGCCCTGGGATGCCAGGGTTTGGGGATAAGATCTTTGTCTTGTCTTTTGACCCTACAGCACCCCAGATAGAAATAACGGAAGAGAAGGGGGCAGGGAAATCTGGGGCAAGCTGTGACTGCCACTGCAGCCCTCATGGAGGTCACAGCCAGGGAAACTGTTCCCCTCTCAAGTTCTCTACCCTCTCTGCCTGTAGGTCTGTCCCTCTCCCCTCCTGCCCATGAAATTAGCTCCAGCAGCCATTCTAGGTGCCACTTTAGAATCCCAGGCAGGGCCCCTGAGGCCACAAGGACCTCTCAGGTCAGCCTGGTGATTTCCTGGCTCCTGGAAGAATGCCTGATCCTCATCCCAAGGCAGTGTCTATCTTTTGGGTCTAACCATCTCTTGAGAGAGGTGAGTAGGGGTATGAACAGAAGCTGAATTTAGGAAGCTGGGAGTGATTGCTTGAGAATCCACAGCTGTCTTGTCCTGTCCATGCACAAGTGTGTTTTTCTTCATGACCCTCAAAATCCAGAGTGGCGCACGAGGTACTCTGCTTACCTAATGCTGTGGAACAGACTGGCTGCCGCAGAAGGTTGGCTTCCCAAGAGGCGGGGGAATCCCACACTGGGAGGGAGCTGCGCCATCTAGTGGGCCTTTTCCCTCTCTGCAGATGTCTCTACCACACATTGCTGCTTCCAGCCTAGATCTGGGAGATACGTTCAGATAGGACCAAAATGAAGGCAGCTGTCTGGCTCTGAGGGGTTGAAGTGCTCCCCTTCCCCAGGCAAGCCTGACCCAGCTCAGAGAGGGAAAGACTAGGGCAACTGGAAGGTGAGAGGATGATGTTGTACTGGCTGAACTTTAAGGCAATGGAGACCAAACCAGAAAAGGTTACAACAGAAGGTTAGAGAGGGTGCTGACAATTTTGTTCTGGCCTGGAAACAGCCACTTCCTAACATCCTGGATGCCCTAGGCATGGAGACGGGGACCCAGAGCCCACAGAGCACCCTTCCTCCTCTGTCTGCTCCCCTCCCTTCCAGACTGTGTAAGGCTGGGCTCAGCTCTGCTGATCAGAGCGAGAGCTGGCACAGGCTGAAGCTGCTGGTTTTCCTCTGACGTCACAGCCTGGAAATCCCATTTTAAGTAGGTTTCCCAGGTGTGGGGTATCCACAAGAGGGAGAGGAAGCCAGATGAAGCAGCTTGAGGCCTGAGGCCATCATAGACAGGGGGCCACATGCCTGGAGGGCTGTCCAGTGTCCCCAAGGAGGTCTGGGCAGAGGACACAGGGTTAGACCCAGTTCCCACTCCCACCCCAAAGCCTTACCTCTGAACACTCCCTGGTGACCCAGCCAGTACCACACTGAATGCATCTTCCACATAGCTCTGACCTTATACTTGTGTCCTGACATCTCTTCCCCACTCCTTTGGCCTGGAAAGATCCACTGAGGCAGAGGGAAGAGGATAGGTGGTCGCAAGGAATGAGGAGACAGCAAGGGGTCACCTAAACCCAGACGTGTCCCACGAGCTCCCTCCCAGGAGACTTTCTACCCATTCTTTTTGGCACCCTTTATGTCTTCTCTCCTTTTCCACACCACAGGGGCCTGGCTGTGCCTAGAGTTCTAGAAGCCTGGATGTTTCCATGGCAACAAATGAATGAGCCTGGAAATCGAAGCATGTTCCTGTTGACATGGAGAAACCCAGATGTGCATGGAGCACGAGGCACTCTGCTTACCCAATGCTGGCAGTGACGTCCTTAGCCACCTGTCACCTTAGATGCAAGCATGTATCTGAGTGTGTATGTGTGTGATATGTAGCAAATGGGATTTATATTACAGATTACCTAACCTGTTATCCTGGCCATGTGGTAGCTTGCTAGCATGGGACTGTAGCATATTACACTCTGGAGGATCTTTCTAGAACAAAGGAATCTCTCCCCTAAATTCTACTCCAGCACCTTTCTCTCTCTTTTCTGAGAGAAGCTGGTCACACTGCTCAGAGGCCAATGGTGAAAGGAATGACTCCTGGAGGATTGCAGAGAAGATGAAGGTATCTCACATCCTGCCCCCACCATGATCTCATTTCAAGGGGTTCTTGGCTAGCTTAGCTCAAGTGTGGCAGGAGGACATGCCTCTGTGATTCCAGGACAGGGGCCAGCCTTGGGCTCAGAACCTGAGTCCAAGTCCCCACTCACATCGCTCATGTTTGGCTTCCTCCATTTTCTTTCCACAAGGCTGAGCTGCTGTTTCTCTCCTCATTCACTCTCCTTCTGCATTCTTTTCCTTTGTCTCTTTCCAGTTCTTCCCCTTCTAGTCTCCCAGAGTCTCATTCTTAGCCAGTTCTGCTTCTTGACTCCTAAAGACCATGGCTCTATTTCAGGAGGGAAGGCTCAGATCCCAAGCCTGGCAGCCTCCCTCTTTCTTCTCTTCTCTTCCCAGGCCAGCTGTTCAGAGCTCAACCTTTCCCTGACCTAGTGCCACACCGGGGCTTGCCTCTTTGGCCCTAGGCCTTGGTTTCCTGTCCTCCTTGCTGGCCTCCTTTTTTGATTTTTATGGCTAGTTCTTCCACAGCCCCTTTCTTGGCTTCTGATCCTCGCCACCTGTCTCATTCCACCTATCTCTTCCTGTGAGCTTTGGTTTACAACACCTCTCCCCCATTCATTTCTTGGCCTTTCTAGGCAGTGTGGCCACTCAACGCCCAAGCCCTGCCCAGCAGCCCTAATCCCATTTTCTTTTCCTTGGGAGCCTTCTCAGGGCTTTTTGTCCCTAAAGTCTACACCAGGCACTTTTAGTGGGGTACCAGAAAGCCTACTAGGGGAAGGGGCCTCAGGGAAGGATTCTGAGGGCCAAGACAACGTTTGGCCCTTACATCCTTGACCTATCTTCATGAACCCCAAATATATTTTTCCAGATGGAACTAAGCCCAATCCCATCTTTGTTACCTTGGAAATCAGAATTCCTGGGACTCACCAGTCTGATCTCTCTCCTACCCCCATCCCCCATTGGGCCTTGTCTCTCACTTGACTGGATGGGGTGAGAACAAAGCATAGAGGCCCCAAAAATGAGGTGCCAGAATTTTGTTTATTGGCTCATCCAGTGTCAAAAGTCCAGCGTTCACTCTCTTTCCACAGAATTGGGAGCCCCTTGGCTCCTGAATTTTTTTCTTCACATGTTCTTCTTGGCCCCAAATGAAACTATGGCAGAAGCTGGGGCAAGATGTGAGGTGAAGGCTGGGCTCTGGTGAGGTCTGCTCAAAGAAGGCCCAGTCAGCTTGGCACAGGCAGACGACCTGGGAGAAGGAAGGAGGATGGGCCTCCAGGTGAAGAGGAAAACTGCCAGCTCAGCAGGGACAGGGCAAGAATGAGAGGGGGTCCACTGAGGCTCAGATACTAGGAGGGAGGGCTGGAAAAGGGAAGGGGCCAGCTGGTTGTGGGGCTGAGGGTAGGGGGAGGTGACTGTTAGAGGGAAAGTCCTTACCCAAATGCCTCCCAGCCCTGGACCCAGAAATACACGTGAATATATGCACACACACGCTCTCTCTCTCTCACACACACACACACACTCCTGGAGCCCCTACCTCTTTTTCCTAGTAGGGACATGTAGCACACAGCTCTACCCAATGCCTGGGGGAAAAGCCCCAGCTGCAGCTATAGCCTGGTCACCCTAGTCATTTATGCATATACCAACTCCCACCCCTGGCCCCCTGCCCAGGATACCTAAGGCCTTCCCCACTCACTCCCTCTCTCTCAGATACCTTGGTTTATCTGGGCTATGTCCCCCTCTCTGGGAAGAACAGTTGGGGCGATAGGACCTCAGAGAAGGGGATGGCCATGGTCTTCAGCAAGGCACTGGGTGGGTGAGGGCAGGGCTGGGGTGGGAGAATAATAAGGGCAGGCTCCCAGGAGTCCCCACCTCCTTGGGTGGCTTAGTCCTTAGTCCCTGGTCCAGCCTCTACCCTCAACCCCTACAGGAGGGCCACCCTCCTCTTTTCCAAGCCCTTTCCAGAGGAGTGGCCACTGGGGGAGGCACCAGAAATGGCCATGTGAAGGTGCCCCCAGGCCTGAGACTTCTGGGCACTGGCACAGGTGTAGAGCAGGGGCTGGGGCTGGGGCTTTCTCCTTGCTCTGCAGCCTGCAGAGGGCTGGGGGACTTTAAGCTGAGTCGCCCCCACCAGAGGCCTTCTTTTTGGGCCGGGTCTTCAGCGTCTTGGAAGCCAGTGGCTGTGGGAAGAAGAGAGGCAAACAGAGGGAGAGAGGAAAACAGTTTGGAGCCATCTTCTTCCATACTTCTCCAAGCTCTGGCTCATGCTCTCACCTCAGCTTTGGGCACTTTTTTGATGGATTTGACCTTCTTGGGGGCCTTGTCCCCTGTATCATCCTCAGAGGTCTCAGTCCGGGGCTCTGCCTGGTTCATGCTGGACCTTAAACTCAGGGCAGGTTCATCTCCTTGTTGGGGGGGTGGGGAGGAAATGGTAGACACTGTATGGTACAAGTGTCTCTCCCACCTGGCCTCCCCTGGTCACAGGCCCCACAGCTCTGCCTGTACCTAAGTCCTCAATGGTGTCCAGGAGGCTTCCAGGGCCAGGTCGGAGGCGGCCATCGGGCCCCTGCAGGGGCAGTGCATCCTCGTCCCGGATCAGGGTCAGGTCCTGCATGCTGAAGCTTCGGAGCTTCTCTGACAGCACCCCCTGGCCCTAGGGTCACCACCACGCACCGAGAGAACCGGGAGAAAGGGGCGGGGTGGAGATGGAGGTCACCGTGGTGCTGATAGTAGCCACCAGGCTCAGTGTTTCATCCACACTGTCCTCACCCAGTCCTACAAAAGTGCTGAGAGGTTGGTGCCATATTTTCCCTTTTTACAGATGAGAAAACTGGCTCAGAGAATAGAAGTGACTTGCCTGAGGTCACACAGCTGGAGAGTAGTACAGCCAGGATTTGAACCCAGAGCTATCCAAGCCCAAAGCTTCCACAGCCCTGAGGACAGGTAGATTCACAGGGGGCCTGGCCAAGGGAACAAGGTCAACAAGGTGGTGGCTCTGGGAGTCTAGGTATGTCCCCATCTCACCTTGGCGGCAGCAGTGACCGCAGCATTGGCAGCCAAGTTTAGGCCCCTCTTGCCCACCCTCATCATGGTCTCATAGCTCTTGTCTCGGGCCTGTGTGATGTACTCGTCAATCTCCTGAAGGGTCAACAGGAAGAAGGAAGAGGTGAGGAGTGGGCCTGCTGGTGAGGGCCTGCTGTACCCTTGTTCACACCCAGACAACAGCACTGATAGGTCACTTCAGGTTCTAGTTACCCATAGGGAGAGCCAGAAATATATTGCAGGCGCTGGGGATGCCATCACCTGGGGAAATTTGAGGAGAGAGGCTGGGACTGGGGGCAAACCTTTTCCTTGTTGGACAGTGTTGGGTGCACGAACTTGCGGTAGAGCACGCTGGAGCCCTTGGTGTAAGGGGACAACAGCCATATCACAAAGGCGATCTTAAGTTCAAAGTAGAAGGGGAACCTGTTGAGGGGGACAGAGGCAAGTGGCAAAGCACAAGGCAAGGTGTCAGGAAGTATGCCGGCTCTGCAGCACTACCCCCTGCGTGACCCTGGGCAGCCTTCCTCCTCTTGGTGCAGTCGGGTCACCAGTGGCTCATGGAAATGGTCATTTTTAACTACCAAGGGCACTGAGAGGCTCAGCAGAGACCCTACATGGGAGGGTGAAAGGTGACCCCAGGAGGAATTCCCCTTGGTAGCAACTGGCCTTATGCCCTCTTCCCTACGAGTCCCCACCTTCTCAATCTTACAGAGCATCCCACTCCCTCTGCCCTGGGATCAACACCATCCAAGCTCCTGAACCTTCCAGGTCTACAGCTAGGCCTTCATCGTGCCCTTCCCTTCCAACCTTCCCTCCCATGAAGTGGACAGAGGCTTCTCTAGCTGTGCTCTGGATCCATCTCTCACTGCCATGATATGTCCCTTTTAAGGACTGATCTTCATTCCCCATGGCTCCTTTTCCTCACTTTACAAACTCTGCAAGACCTTCTACAGCCTCATAAGGCCATCACCAAAACTTTCCTTTGCTTATGTTAAGAGATGTCTGTGCTCACTACCCTCAATTTCTAACAGTTACTCTTCTAGTCTGTGCCTTTCCTTCTTCTGACAAAACTACTTTTTCTCAAAGGCCATAAGGCCCTCAGAAGCAACAAATACAATGATCTTTTGTTCTATTGTTGTGATGTGCCGTCAAGTCAGCCCTGACTCATAGCGACCCCTCCTTGGGTTTCCGAGGCAGTATCACTACGGAAGTAGGATTGCCCAACCTTCCTTCCGAGGAGTGGCTGATGGGTTTGAACCGCCAGCCATCTGGTGAGCAGTCAAGTGCCTTAGCCACTATGCTACCAGAGCTTCTGTACCCTTCTGTAAAACCTCTTGACTTCCAATGTACTGCACTTTACTAGTCCTCTCTTCCAAGAGGCATTTGTTCATTTAATATACACATTTTTGAGCTTCTGCCGTATACTGTAGATGTCTGCCTGTCCTCAAAGTGCTCATACATAGTCTGGTAAGTCCCTGGGAAAAATGCCTTTGAAATATAAGCAATGCAAACGCAACACACTGCTGTCGAGTCGGACCTGACTCATAGCGACCCCTCGTTGGATTTCCGAGGCAGTATTACTACAGAAGTAGATTGCCCAACCTTTCTTCCGAGGAGTGCCTGCTTGGGTTTGAACCACTAGCCCTCTGGTTAGCACTCAAATGCCTTAGGCACTATGCCACCAGAGCTCCCACAAAATATAAGCATTCAATGTTTTTAAGATTCAATCCACCTCTATTTTATAAGTAGGGAAACCAAGACACAGAGAGCTGTGACTTGCCCAAGGTTACAATTAGTGTAGCAGAAGCAGGTCTCCTGAATTCCACTGTGGTTCTTTGGTTGCCACCAGGAAAAAAAAAAAAAAAGAAAGGTGGGGGTTATGTCTGTGCTTATTCTGTTGACCAGGACCCCGTAGGAATGTGGGGAGCTCTATCCTGGGTCTCAATCTTCTGTTTGGCTGGCTAGCTGGGGCAAGTCTGAGGCCCTGGGCCCTGCAATGCAGGGAGGAGGTGCTAGACCTCACCATGAGAGCACGATATCCGTGAGTGTCTCAGCTGTGGTGAAGAAAGCAAAGACGATCCAGTACATCATCCATTTCACCTGTGGGTGCAGAGGGCCGTGTTCACTGGCGTCTGGGGTGAGGGGCCAGGAAAACCCACAACCTCAGCTCTGTCCTGGGGGAACACCCAGGACCTCAACTCTGTCCTACTCATCATGCCAGGGATAGGCAGGGGGAATACCCAGGACCACACCTCTGCTTGCCAATTATGCCAGGGATATTGTGGGGAAGGGACACCCAGTACCTTAACTTTGCCTGCAGATCACATCAGGGCTGGGGTCGGGGGAGGAACATCCAGATCCTCCTTTGACCCAGGATCTTGTTAGCGGCTGGCAGTGTTTTTACAAAGTCACCCCCATATGTAATGTGACCCACTCTTTTCCCTCTCTGTTGTGTGGTTTGGGTGGGAGGTGAAGGGGTCATACACTCACATATTCCTTTACGTTTTTTGTCTTCACGGCCTTGTAGGAAGAGTAGGCTGGGTACAGGGTGCCAAAGATGAGCCTAGGGAGGCAGGCATGGTTACTGGGCCCCTCAGCCAGAGGCAGTGGCCTCTCCCTCCCAGCTCTGCATCAGTCCCTGGGTTGGTAAGGGGAAAAGGGACAGAACTGCAGAGTGCCACACTGGCTGGAGTGATGAATTCTGGCCAAGGGTTAGAAAGAAGTCAGGTGATATACATGCATGGAGACCACCAGTCGGCTGGGGTGATGGCTCTCTTCCATTGCTCAGTTTTTCTCCAGTCCTTGAGGCACAGAAAGGTCAGAGGGTCCAAGCTCCTTGGTTATGTACAAACATATTGTGTGGGGGGGTCTGGTCACTGCCACGGGGATTTTTTCCTTCCTTGGACACCATGCCTATTTTATGCATATCTGCACTTTATCCTCTGCCTCCTTGTTTCGGAGCCAAGCTGGGTACGGTCAGCAGTGCAAGAGAACTGGACACCACTTAACAGGGTACTCTGCCTGGCAGTCAGAGGAACCACCATGGCCCTAGGAAGCTGGGGCAAGAGGGCCTGCAAGGGGCAGAAGGTTCACTGTAAACTCCTTTGGGACTAGCCTCAGGGGAAGGGCCTGGCTTGAGCATTGATTGGAGTGGGGCCTCATGGTGATCCCATGTATAAACCACAGACAAAACACAAGGTGAAGAGTGAGATGCTCCGCAGGGAACTCACTGGGGCAACAGAGAAACAGCCACCTTGAAGGCCACTGGAGGTATGAAGGCCCTGGCTTCCCTCTAAGGAGGATGTGGGAGAGGATGTGTCTAGAGGAAGATAGGACACAGCACTGAATGGGAGGGCAGCAGGGAAGAGCTACTGAGATCTGGGGTATCATTCCCCCAAGCTGGAGGCTGAGGGGCAGCAGGGTCCTAAACTAGGGCAGGGGTTTGTGCTGAGGCTGTGTGTGTGTGTCTCTGTTAGGCCCATCCCTTAACAATGTTTGGGTGCACCTGTTCCCACATGGAGCTGCCTGATCTAGACAGGATACTTCCAAATTGGCCTGTGCAGGTGGGGTATGGGTGCAGAATCCTCTAGTACAAAGTCTGGGGTCATGGGGAGTGTTTTTCTCCTGCAGCCTGGGGGAGGTGACAGGAGCATAGTTCCACACTGTGGCTGGCAGCCTAGGATGAAGGCCACCTAATGTCCTCCCTGCAGTGGTTTTTACAATCGCAGACTGAGCACACACATCCTCTCCCACCCACCTCCCACACTTTGTCCTCCAAAGATCTCCCTTGGAGATGTGCTCCCTGGAGGGCTGTAGGCCTTCAGGGTATGTGCCCTCAACTTCAAGTCTCTTGACAGTAAGGAGAGCAGGGTCTGGGCCAAGGGAACTGGCTATGGCTTTAAGCTATATAATGGGTCCACGGGAGTAATCAGGTCCTGCCTTGTTCCCCACTCTTTTTTCTTGCCCCTCTACCCCAAGGGAGATAGGGGCCCAGGTTTGAGGAGTTCGTCTAGCCAGACCCGCTAGGTGGGGGAGGGGACTGCCTGCCGCCCCTTATAAATGAACTCTTGAGCGGCTCAGCCCTGAGGATGGGGGCGGGTGCAGGGTGGTCGATGAGGAAATTAAAAATAAAAGCAGTGGGTGAGGTCCCTGGGAAGTCAGGCCTGTCATGCTCCCCTCATATTCCCTCCTCCAGTCCAGGGTCTAACACCTCTATTCTCTGGCGACCCCTAATAAGCACGAAGTGCCTTTAGGTGGCTCTGCTGTTGAAAGCCGCGGGGTGTTCTACCCGGGGCTTTAACATGTCCCCCCATCGCTAGCCTCCATCACCCGGAGCCCCCAACGCCTCCCCCTAACGGGCCGCGCCCCGTCACCGCCGCCGCACTCACACCACCAGGCGGGAGATGATCCAGGACACCATGGCGGGGCCGGGCGGGGCGCGGGGCGGGGACCCGGCCCGGCCGAGGATGTAGCTGCCCAAGGCCGGGCTGCGGCGGCGGTAGCAGGAGTGGCAGCAGCAGCAGCCTCAGCAGCGGCCGCCACGGGAGCAGCGGAGCACGGAGCCGCCGCCGTTAAAGGGGAGGTCCCTGCCGCAGCGGCGGGCCGTGGGCGTCGGCGGCTCTTAAAGGGGAGGCCGCAGCGGCGTCAGCGGTGCGCCCCCCTGCACCTGCTGTCGCTGGGCATGCGCCTCTGACCCTCTGTGCCCTGTCTCCTTCTAATCGCTTGTTCTTTCTCGGGTTCCAAGCCCTGGGCTGAGGTCTTCGGAGACCTTCCCAGGTCCATGCGGTTATCAGCCCCAGTCCACCTCCTGCCCTGCCCACACCAGGCTGAAAGGCTAAGTCATACCAAGAGAGATAATAGCTATAAATTTATTGAGTGCTTACTGTGTGCCAGGCTCTGTGCTACAGCTTCTTATGCCTCACCTCAGTGAATCCTTGTGACTATCCTATAAGGCAGAGGTTATAATTATCTCATTTTGAAGATAAGGAAATGGGAAGCTTAAGGAGTCACAAAAGCCCAGGGTCACAAAATCACTAAGTCATGCTGCTAAGATATGAACTCAAGAAATTAACTTTAAACAGGATACTTACCCCAATTGTTGACTAGAAAGCCTTCATCCAACCCTCCCCTTCTCAATAACTACCAATCACCCCAGCTGGAAGAGGCCCTGTCCCATTCGCTTCCTAACCTTTTCAGGGGAACAGACCCCAGTGCACCTAAAGTGGATACCCAACACTGGGACAGGGGAAGGGCCAGACTAATTTGAACAAAGGTGACCAAAATATAAAAAACAAAACAAAAAAAACCCACCCAGGTAGGATATGGGCCCAGGGTGTCCAGTTTCATCTCCATCAGCAAGTACTGGCTGCAGTAGATGCCCTAATTCTGAAACATTTATATCCAGAATGTAGGCTAGGTCACCTCCTGATTTTCACCAAAGCAACCAAGCTTCTACCTCCCCCTCTTCCCTATGCCATTGCTCTCTTTTTCTGTCCCATTTCAAAGCTTGTGCATTCTTTTACCCTTTAAGTTGAAATATAGTCCTTCTAGTGACCACAGCATCAATCCGTGCCCATCCAGGCTGAAAGGAAACACTCAGAGCACTATATTTCAAAGAGTTATGGGTCCTATTCAAACTTGGTATCCTCGAACCACATAATGGTCTATTTTGACCCTGATAAATGTATTTCCAGGTTCAAACTTCTGGAAGACATTTTCCAACAGGTTCCAGAGAAGCAGCCCCTGATAACACTCTTGCTATTCTGTATACCTTCCTTTCTAAGCGGCCCTATTTGGAATGCAGTCATTTAAATTGCTGCTTGATAAATGAAAATAAATTCCATGTGGGCCTTCTCCTGACAACTCTAAACTGGATCCAGGACCACACACTCCATGTGTGGGCAGCCAGGTCTCCTGCTTTGAGGAACCCCACAATGACTGCCCCAAACCCTGCTCAGGCCACATACACTTTCCCCCAGACTCTGCCTCAGGAAGGAAGGACCCCACCTTTTCTATCCATCCATACAGCAAAAACTGGAAAAAATCTTCTGTCCTCCTATCTTCTAACTCATGTCAGTCTCTTCCCCTCACTCCAAAACTCCCAACCATACTGATCTCATCTTGCCACTTTCCTTTCTTCCAACTGGGTCTAAGTTCAGGAAGCAAAGAGCAATAATTGGGTATAAGCAAAGTAAGGAGCCATTCCACCTCAACCCTGCCCTCCCTCAACCTGGTCCTGAGTTTACAAAGGTTGGCACAGGAAGAATTTAGTCCACTCCAAACAGATTTGTTAGATTTTTAATAAGAACATGGAAATCCCAATCAGCCCCTCAACAAAATTAAAATACAGAAAGTGAAATTAAAAGTACTCTACAGTAAATGACTTTTATTAAAAAAAAAAATCCCACAATAATAATAATAACTGTGAACATATAAACAAGCCTGCAGGGCACTACAGTACAGCTGGAGAGAAGATAGATACATTTCCCAATGTACCTATGGGCCAATGAATTCCATAATTTTCAAATAAATTCTTAATAAAACTCCACTGAGTTGGAAAGTTTTGCTAAAAATATTTCTGGACCAAAACAAAAAACAGAAAGAAAAAAAAAAAAACCCAAAACAAAACAACTCATGTTGGAAATCAAACTTTCCTTCCCATTTGGAAACTTATGATGAGTCCCAAGGGAACGCTGGTAATAGGTGAAAACAGTTCCTGGAGTCCACCAGTGTGGAACACAACACAGCTCAGACATGACAAAGTTCTTTCTCAGATGACTGTTCCCTCAAGATAAGACTAAGATGGGAGGGGGAGAAACTAAAAGAATCCTTAAAAGCCAATTCTTTTAAATTCTGCTTTGGCTGATTTGTGCTATATTGGGGAGTTGATTTCTAAAAATCATAGTTCTTCAAAGAGTTTTATTGAAAGGAAGACTAAACGTAATGTGCCTTTCCTCATAATCCAGGAAAACAACTGTGGTATTTCAAAAATTCTAAAAATATCTACTTTCATGAAATAGTAACTATTTCACTACAAACCTATTTTTCACTAAATACACACGTTTCTTAATCCTGGAGCCTCCTGGGAAAAGCAGTGGGTTCTCCCTGGGTCCTGCAAGACTCCAGTGTTCATGGGAAAAGTGTGGGGAATGGCTTCACCCCGTGTCCTGGGATGGGCTGCATCAGAGGTCACATGCAGAGACACTGTCAGGCTTCCACCAGGCATGTTCAAGCAATTACCCCATACTTGTACCAGTTATGTAATCCCCCTACCTCCAAACACATTCTCACCTAGCTAGGCACAAGAGAAAAAGAAAAGAAAGACGTGCCCACATTCTTGGTTTCCATGAATTTGAATTCACGAGAATGTGCAGGAAAGCCCAGCAGTATTCGGGCAATTTGGATTCCCAAAAGGCCATGGGATAGGGATGTGGCATCCTCAGCTTGGAGTCTGAAACTGTGTGTGTGAACAGTGCGACTTTCCTGTGTCAACTTTCAGTGTTGAGGCAGCGTAGAAAAGAGTGGCTGGAGAGTTTGTAATACTGACCACGCTGGCTCCGAGTGAGAGGCCTCCGCTCCAGCAGAGAACCCTGTCATTCCCTGTGTCGGGAGTGAAAGACCTGCTTCACAGGAGAGTTTGGAATTTCACCATCCTAAGACCTTGCCAATTTGGATTCATGAGCCTTGAGGGTGCCAACAGCATCTTTCACTGCGTGGTAAATGATGTTCTTCACCTGGAGAGAGCAATCAGCATAGTCAGTTCATGGCAGCCCCATGCTGTGTTCTGCAAATGTATGTTCAACACTGACTGTAAGCCTACTTGTTAATGAGGAAACTCTCTAACAAGGACTGTGCACTTCCTAAACCAATCTCCATGATGATTTACAAGTTATATAGGATACAAGGTCTGTAATCAGGCAAAGTCTATAATCATTGAAATATTTTGAAAGGCTATACAATCACAATCATCTATGTGCTGGTCCCTTCATATGGACTCTCATTTAATCATTATCATAATCTTATGAGGTAAATTCTATTATTATTCCTATTTCACAGATGAGAAACTAAGGAAACCAAGGTTCCATAGTCAAGAACCTTGTCTAAGGTCCCACAGCTAATAAGAGAGTACTGACACAGTAGAGGTGGGTAGGATTATGGGATGTATATTCTTTTTATGCACACACGTATTTTCTAACAGGAACATGTATTACTTGTAAAGTAGGAAGATATAATAAAAACTATTAAAAGAAAGTGAACAGGCTAAGGACAGTTTTTAACAAGGGCTGACATCAAGACTGTAGTTATTTCTGGGGTGGGGGTGGGAGGAGGAGTGGGGAAATGGAATGAGGAAGGCTGCACCTGGACTTCAATTATATTCATTATGTTTTATTTCTTAGGATGGGCACACAAGTTCCCCTTATACTATTATTCTCTACTACTTTTTTGTATTAACTCAACAAATATTTACTGAGTACTTACTAAGTATCAAACATTGTACAAGGGAAAAGCAGTGAATAAACAGTAAAATCCCTTAAACAGCTTACATTCTAATAGAGGTAAAAACAAACAGGTAAAATACATGCCACATGAGATGGTCATACTACATATATACTATATATATCAGAAAAATACTACAGAAAAAAATAAAGCAATGAAAGGGGATTAAGTGTGCTGAAGTGAGAGTTGATGTTATTCCAAAGAGTGGTCAGGAAAGATCTTATGGATAAAGTTACATGTTACAAGTAGAGACCTGAAGGAAAAGGGATCTGAAATACATATCCCTGCATATTTGTTTCTATCTATAGTATCAATATGATTATGTTGGGTATAATAACTTTATGGTTGAACTGTTTCATACTTGTGAAGAAGGAACAGCAAAACAGACTCAGGGTGGAAGTCACCAAAAAAAAAAAAAATTAAAAAAATAAATAAATAATGTACATATACCTGAGCCACAAGCATGATGGAGGAAAAGAGACTGCAAGTGCAATGTTGGGAGACTGTTTATTTGGATTGCTGAATTTCTGCCTGAGGAGTCTTGCTTCCTGACTGTTCTTTTTAAGCTGCTAAAGTACCTAACGGGAGCTCTGGTAGCATAGTGCCAAAGGCACTTGACTGCTAACCAGAAGGCTGGCAGTTCAAACCCATCAGCCACTCCTCAGGAAGACGATGGGGCAATCTACTTCCGTAGTGATACTGCCTTGGAAATCCAAGGAGGGGTCGCTATGAGTCGGGTCCAACTTGAAGGCACATAACAACAACAACAACAACAAAGCACCCAACCGTATTAACAATGAAATTCTGCTCTTAAAGTTCCAGTACATTTCAGGAGCAGAGGAAAGAACCATAATCTAATTATCCAGCTTAGATCCATGGGGAGAAACCAGTCCTCGCCCCTGTCAATTAGATTCTTAGGGACATGGGTTACAGTCTCTAGCAGGGCTCTAAGGAATTGAGTATGTATAGAAATTTGTTTGGGAGGAGCTCTGGTGGCATAATGGTTAAAGCATTAGCTGGTAACCAAAAGGTCAGTGGTTTGAATCCATTAGCCATTCCATGGGAGAAAGATGAGAA